ACACATTTAATTTCTTTTCACATATATCACATGTGTTAAAAAAATTATAATTTAGGCATAAATATTAGCACATGTGAGTGTACAAAACAAATCAAAAAAGAAAAAAAAAAGTATAGAAAAGAAATTAAATGTGTGTAATTAAATTAAAATATTTTAAAAGTTCCTAATTTTTGTCATGAATTTTAAATATTTGAGAATAGTTAGAGCATCTTTATCAGACTACCTAAATTTTATCCTAAAATATTATTAAAAAATTCATTCCCTATTTTAGCAATTACTTTTTCATCTACTTTCCCCCAACAAACTCCCTATTCTTTATCTATTCTATTAAAATAATATTTTTAATTATTTTTATAATTAAATATTTTTTTAATAATAAAATAATAAAAACAAATGAGCACAACAGCATAGCATACAGGAAGTCTGGAAAGCAAAAGGGCGGTCATCCGGGTGGTCGACCCTTTTGGATATTTTCTTTCTTTATCTCCAAGACTCTCACGAGACATCCGGAAGTTTCGCGCCTATAAAATAAGAATTTATTAAATATAAGAGAGCTATAGTGACTTCCTATTTGTAGGGAGTCACTGTAGCAACACTTATATTTGGGGGGTTGGATAAGGGAACTGTTGGGGATATATTTTAACAGAAAAACTCTTTATTTGAGTAACGAGGTAATATAAGAGAAGAGATGGACATGCTCTTATATATGGCATGAATAATATAGTAATATAGTAAAAAGTAAGTTTTAATTTTTTTTTAAAGAAATAAAAATTAGTGTGAGAAGATTAGGTTAGAAAGATATGAAACATATTTTTTTTTATTTCCTTTTGAAAACTATAAATTATGAAATTATTAATATTTTAAAAACTATTACTTTAATGGATTAGCCAATACTGCTTTTTAAATTTATTTTTTAATACAATAAATCTACAAATTTATTATGAGATTTTGGAGTTCCCAATGCTCCTCACCAAATCTCCTTTTACTTATATAATATACTAGCATATCACCCGTGCTATGCACGGATTGCGTTTATAATTATCTATATATATGAATTGTGATTTTTAAATGTCTTTTTTTTTTTTACTTTTTTATATTATATTAAAGTTTAATATTTTGACAATAATCATATATATTGGACTTTTTAAGGAATTAAATGTTTTTTTTATTATTATATTATATTAAAGTTTAATATTTTGATAATAATCATATGTGTTGGACTTTTCAAGAATTTTTTTTTATACTTGTTCTTAATGCATTAAAATGTTATTATGATGGATAATAATCATATGTATTAGTACTTTTCAAGGAATTCATGTGTTGGATTTCAAATTTTTTTTTTTTATATTTGTTCTTACTGCATTAAAGTGTTATTATGATGGTAAGACTTGGTAGAAGGTAATAAATGCAAAGATTTTTTTTTAAGCGTTATTATGAGGGATAATAATTATATGTGTTGAGGCTTTTCAAGGATTTCATATGTATTGGATTTCAAAGATTTTTTTTTATGCTTGTTCTTAATGCATTAAAGTGCTATTATAATGGTAAGACTTGAGAGTTGGGAGAAGTTAATAAATGCTAAAAAAAAAAAATTTAAATCAAAAAATCAAGAAATTTAGATTGGGAGATTGGAGCTCGCATAAGACTTGAGGTTAAAAACTCCCTTTTGCTTAATATATAGTATAGTATAGATAGATAGATAGATAGATATCCAATTTTTTAAAATAATTTTATAGTCATAATAAATGTTATTTGATAGAATTCAATGAATGGTATGAGAGAAATATTTGGGACCCCTTTTTTTGCAGGTTTCATGACCCCTAATTTGATATTGGCCCTTGATGTGTGTGTGGGGTCCACTCATGTATGTGTAGACCCCACATTATGAGTGATTGGGATAAAAGTGGGGGTTGTGAGGTCATATATGTATAAGGGTCTCTATCACAATTGTATGTGTGAATCTAAAAATATATACGTCCCGTAGAAAGCTCTGTAGAAGAATATATTCTGTCATACTAAGATTTTTTAATTTGTTTTTTTTACAATCGATGGATAATATTTGAACTCAAATATCACATCTGATAAAAAAAAAAAAAATGAAGAGAAGATTTCCTCCACTCTAGATTTTGAATTAGAGGGCACTGTTTAGATCCGTGGGACCCACCATGGGTTCCCATTTCAATAATCTGAATTGTTCATTTTGTCGTGTATTTCATCCACGCAAAAAATTAGGTTGATCCGATAATTGTAACTTGTTTAATTTTTCACTAAAAAAATAGACAACAATTATATTTTAAAAAACAAATCATACATTTTTTTAGTCACAAACACAATAAATTAAATAAGTTATAATTATCGGATCTACTTAATTTTTTTTTGTGGACGAAATACACGCAATGCCCAATAAAATGAACAGTTTGAATCATCAAAACGGGATCCATGGTGGGCCCCACGTGCCCAAACAAAACCCTCTAATCTAAAATCTGGACTGGAGGGGATCCTCCTCCAAAAAAATAATGGGAAGAATTACAAAAAATAAAAAATAAAAAATTAAGGTTTGACCATTGTAACAAAATAAATCTTGAGTTCTTAATTTTTTCAATTTAAATCCTAAATTTTTCAATTTATCTTCATTCTAAACTATCTATCTATTTTCTTTAAAAAAAATTGATAGTAAAAGGAGTGTTTTAGTCATTAAACTCAAAGAAATATAATAATTTAGATATTTTATGAATACTTATATTGAGTTTAATGACTAAAATATTATTTTTCTGTTAGTGTAATAAAAATAGGTTGAGGGTTTAAATTGAAACAGATTAAAAGGTTAATATTTAAATTCTAAATTTTTTTTGGTAAGATAACAAATTCTAAAGTTTTTTTGGTAAGATAATAATAATAATTTACGCACTAAGCAAATCCTTATTTTTTTGGTAAGTTAAATTCTGAGTCATCGTCCAATGAAAATATAGTAAGTACTTGACGTCAAATTTCCATATATTTCAAGCCATATTAATTGAAACTTTTAAATAATGATAGATTTTATAAATTATTATTATTTGCTTTCGATTTCTATCACTCACATTTCACCATTTCACAATGAGAAATGCCAGAAAGTTACGGCATTTAATGCCCTCATTAATGAAAACTTTTGTAACGTAAATGTAATTTTTATTTTTTTTTGGTAACTAAACTACATGGATGCCCAAGCCAAAAAAAAAAAAAAAAAAAACCTATATGGATGGAGTTTTTAATTGCTTAACTCATGGAGAGTACAAAAAAAATATTTAAAAATTGAAATATATAAACTAAATGGCTGTTGATTTTTTGGGTTAAAACAGTCAAAAAGTCAAAATATCTAATCATATCACTCATTCTACTTTTCTACATATTTTTTTCTTAAAAATCTAAAAAATCGACTAAAATAGTCTCTTTCCAAATACTCACTAATATAATCCACACTCATAAAATTAAAATCCAAACTATGTATTTCCGTCTTCAAATAGTTTTAAATATGCTCATAGTATTTTCCTTTTTCAAATTTTGCATACCATATTATTCACCCTTTCTTTAACCCTCAAGGGTTGGCTTGGGAGTGTACTCCCTCCATAATCACAGGTTCGATACATTCTTAGGTACAAATAATTTTTTTAGAATTAGTACATACAAGGGCTTTGCCCTGGCCTTAATTTGGAGCTACCGCTAGTAGATGGTGGGATTAATCACTTGAATTATTCAATTCTTTAAGCCGAATACCAAGTTACCAAAAAAATTTGCCCCTTCTTCATTTCCCAGACAGTATGCTCTACCTCTTCTTGACAAAACATATGCTCCATTTCTCTCTCTAAATTAGAATTAAGACGGCAAGTCAATCGATCTAAGCCGAGATTTGTAGTGCTTGAACTTGGCTCAAAAATTAATTCAAATCAAGTTCAGCTCAGCTTGTTAATAAAATCATACTCGAACTCAGCTCGAAACTCAATAATGATTAACAAATTTGATTCGATAATTAAGCTCGGTCAGCTTGTTTAGGAATTGACCTTTTTAGTAATTTTTATTTATTTATTTTTTTTTTACTGAAACATGCAAAAAGTATAGATTATAATTTGATAACTTGTAATGACTTTTTGATTTTTTAGCTAAAAACCTAACTTTCCAAACAAGCCCTTAGTATTACAATATATATAACACATTTTACAAATTTTATATTTAAATAATAACTGTGCTACATCCCCAATATAGCACCATCATTTTTACCCGGTATAAGGCAGAAGAGAGAGAATAGAGCGAGAAGGGATGAGAAGCGTGGGTCCGTCCCTGCACATGGTCCATTCCATGTCATTATAGGTGAATTGGAGTTGCTCAATTAGTGCTCCCAAATATTTTTTTTTTTAAATAATATATATTATTATTTAAATAAATAATAAGGCCAAGTTTGGAAATTCTTAAAAAAATCAAAAAGTCAAAAAGTTACTCAAAAAGTTAAAAAGTTAACACTATTTACCAAAAGTCAATAATTACGGCGGCACAACTCCCAATTCAAATTTTCCTCTACAAACCAATTTTTCATATTTTTTATTACACATTTTTTCATAAAAAGTCAAAAAGTTAACTCAAACATTCATATTTTTTTCCTCAACTTTTTAGTCCAAAAAGACAAAAAGTGCACTTATTTAGGACACCCCAAACATCCCCTAAGTGAGTGAAGCATTTTGAGCCAAGCTGCTTGTAAAATATGGCAAAATCTTATAAATTTATTACCATTGATTAGCAAATTTTTTCCAATTTCCCTTCTGATTCTACTCATTTTTCATCTTCCAATTTTGTCCTAGCCTCCTTGTAAGGACAAAGTCCAAATTTAGATGTAGGATTGGACAAAATTGTAAAATTCATCATTGATTTTTTATGAAATTTCACATTAAAAAATCTTCCTCCCTCTTCATCAACTTATAAATACACCATGCACCGTCTTTAATCTCCTTCAATTCCAACACATACACATTTTGGGGTATTTTTCTCATCAAATCCAAAAATGAGGAAAACAATCTTATATCACTTCTTCCCGTCCAAAGCAGAAGAGGAGGAACACCAGAGGGCAGGCAGCAGTGATCCCCACGCCATCCGGTGGGAGGTGGTGGAAACAAAAGCTGACCCACCTCACCTCCTCCATATTTTTCCATGGGAGATCAAGAAGGTTCTCACTGCCAACGACGTTGGCCATTTCGGGAGCCTTGAATTGAGCCCTGAACAAGTTCACAATCACATTTTCAAGTACTGGGATGCGACGACGGTGGCGAAGGTGATTGTAGATGGCGAGCAGGTTCCGATTGTGGTGTGTGATTGGGACACTAGGACTGACCACAAGTTGATTCTCAGGAAGTGGTCAAGTGATGAAAACTACTCCATTTATGCTTGCTGGATCAAGGAGTTTGTGGCTCGGCGCGGACTCAAGGTTGGTATGCTGATCGGAATGTACTGGGATATCGGATCGTCGGCGCTCCGATTCTCCGTTTTGAACAAGGTTGAAGATTGATGATCCTCACAATGTTAACCTAGCAAGGCTATTGCTTTAGGATCTCTAGATTGTCATTTTGATTCTACTTTTGTTGCAAATGTTTTGTCGTCTTGAATTTGATAGGATTTCTTCCTATATGAATTCCGTTGAACACAGAATTTTGATTTTATTTTTGTTATAAATCTTTGATTGTCTTGAAATTTGATAGGATTTCTACCTATGAATTATATTAAACACATAATGATTGTTTATTTTGAGAGTTGTTTCCTGAATCTGAAACATAGTACTTAGGTTTTCCCGATAACTAAAGAGCATTCGCAATTTGGAGCCTTCTCAATTTACAGCTGTGTTTGTTATTGTTTTAATAATTACTGCATAGGTGTTAAATTATGGAGATAAGCAATCTACCTTAATAAATTCTACAGATTAATCGCCGAGAGTGAATTAATCGTCACAAACACGAGTTTTACTAATCGTCGACAGTGTATTAACTGTAATACATGTTTAACTAAATGTTGACAATGATATATTATGCAAACTAATTGCTGACAGTGAATTAACTATCATGAACATGAGTTTAACTAATCGTCAACAATGTGCAAATTGTGATGAACACGAGTTTAATTAATCGTCAATAGTAAATTAATTTTCATAAACACGAGTTTTAAGTACAAAAGTTAAATCCCTCCCAAACATCAATTTTTGTGGGCTATTCACCGAAATAACCGTGTGAGATTAACTAATTGTCAACGGTTAATTAACCGTCACAATAACGATTTTAACTACAAAAGTTAAATCTCACCCTAACAATTTTTGCAGGCTAATCGCCGACCGTTGAGAACACAAATTTAAATTCAAAAGTTAAATCCCTTCCCAACATCAATTTTTGTGGCTAATCGTCGACAGCGAATTAGCCCTTACAAACAAGAGTTTAACTAATAGTCAACAGTGAATTAACCGTTACGAACACAAATTTTAAGTACAAAAGTTAAATCCCTCCCAAACATCAATGCGTGGTTTCAAGTGAACTAGTGAAAGTTGGGTCCATCACATTAATCTTTTTACCATATGCAAATCATACAACACAAACACAACGAAACACTAGCAGTCATACATACAAGTTAGAATAAAGCTATACACACCAATTGATATACCAATTAGTATACTAAAAGATGATGTGATAATTTTATTAGTTTTGAATCTTTATAATTTGTATAATAGGTGGGGTCCATAGTTTTGAAATTGTAATGCTATAACATATGTTTATACACTAACTAATATAGTAATTGATACATGTAGCACCACTCTACAAGTTATTGAGGAAATCTTTCAAACTATTTAAGTGTCCACTACACTAGTTAATATACCATTGAACATACCAAAACAAAAAATTTTACTTAACAAAAAAATTTGTCAAAAAATAAATAAAAATGCAAATGAATAGAGAGAAGTTTGTTTGAAATTTAATTGGGAAGGGAATCAGAATAATTTGGAAATTTAAAGATAACTATTATCAAAAGGTCAAAAGCAATCAATAAGAGCATATCAAAGTTAAGGAAACAAAGAAAAATATGGAAATGAATTGTTGTTATATGGAGAAAGTCAAAAAATTCAAATTATTTCCTCCCTGTCAAATTGTTTCTTTATTTTTCTAATTTTACAAGCCACTGAAAATTTTCACGGTAAACAAAATAAATAAATAAATAAAAGAATAAAATCATTTTCATATGCATAACACTTTCCAAAAAGGCACGCAGGATTGTTAATATATATAGTTGAACCATATAAACTCCATAAAACAAACTATACCGAAACAATCAGTACTTCTATTTGCATAGAAACCAACCCCAGAATTAGATGCACAAGTGGGAGTGTGGGATCCACAAAAAGGTAGGACCCACATCATGAGAGAGGGTTATATCGATTCTGGGGAATGGCTCCTCTCCATACCACTATTTTCTATACTCTATTTTGTGGGCCCCATCTTGGGCCTACAACGATAATCCGAATAGTTCATCTCGTAACCTCACTAATAAAGATTAGTTGTGAAAAAAATTTGCTTCACCAAACATGACAAAACTCATGAACAAATTACATTTTATTTTTTAAAATGGATGACAACTATCAGTTTAAACTTAAACTGTCCATTTTAAAATGTGATGTGTTCGTCTATTTATGGATATACTATTAAGATAAATTTTTACACAAACGGTCTTCATTACAAGGTTTGTGAAATGAACAGTTCGGATTATCCTTAGAGGCCCAAAGTGGGGCCCAGAAAATGAATTATGGAGGCGTATAGAGGATAGTGGTGTGGTCAGTGATCGGTTTCTGTGTTCCTAGAAACCAAATGTTAAGAGCATTTCCAACCTACTAGGTATATCATGCTTGTTAGTCAAAATACCTAGTATAACTCATTTTTTTCAACTCCAATGCACTAGGTATATGATTAGGTATTTTAGCTCAACTCACATTCACTAGCTACATGTAGCTAGCCTTCAAGGCTAGGCAAAATATATTTAATCATTAGGATCATTTTTCTCCATCTTTGTTGCTGATGTGACATTTTATAAAATTAATAGTATTTAGATGAATAGCTAAAATAAAAAACATGGTTGGAGTAAAAGCATGAAATAGTTGATAGGCAAAATAAAATATATACTTTATAATAATGTTTAAATAGGTAAAATGCCTATTACCGTTGGAGATGCTCTAACATATGCAACAGTCCCATAAACACCACACCACCTTCCACAGAAGCATTCAGGTCTTTATACACAATACAGTTAAACTATACAAACTCCAAGGATAAAATGTTAAACATACACAACATACCTCCAAAGAAGAACACCAAGTACACATATTTCCTCAGCAGCAACGATGCTACACGCTTCAAAACCAAAACCAGCAACCAAAACTCTGGGAACAGGATGATTCTTTTTTAACTGGGTGTATCAAGTGATCCACAGTACTCATCCCAGTTAATCTGAAATATGGGGTCGTTTGGTCGTGCATTCTTCATAGATCTCATCGCTATTTCCAATACAGATTCGTCTGGCACGAAGAAGCTTCCAGGAGCAGATTGCAAAGTCACATGGTACTCACCATCTGTCAGTTGCAGCACGTTGGAGTTACCATCGATTGGTTTTGAATTGCTAGGCACGTTTTTTTGTTGCTCCTTGTAGGCAGTCATTTCCTGATTGAATCTTTCCTTATCTTTTCTAAATTCTTCAAGATATGGCTGTAAATATAGAAAGGGAACAAATTGACATTGAAAATTGGATTGGATATCATGTAATATAAGGAGAGAACAACCAGTGTCTTGCATCACTTATCCCGTTATCAACACGCACTGTTCTAAAAGAAAGTTCAGAAGACTGAGGATAAAACTAAACCAATCTGGTAGTTTGATTTGTGCATATTGCCTAAAAAATAAACAAAACTCAATCACACCGTGTCTGACACTAACGCAACACTCATCAAACACTTTCCAACAACAACAATGATTCATCCCCTTTTTCCCCCACCCCCTTTGACCCCCTCTCTCTCTCATTGGTTACTTTTTCTTTTTCTTTTTCTTTTTTTTCCTGCTCCTCCAATCACCACCCGCCACGTGACAAAGGGGGGTGAGGGGGTGACCCCCAAAAGGGAGTCCCAAGCATTATTCTTCCAACAATTAGACTCACTTAAAACACAATACAAGTTTAAATTAAATAAATTGGAATCCAATGATAAAACAAAAACAATGTATATATATACATATGTTCCTTCTCCAGACTTTAAAAACTAATTCATTTGACTTAAATATTCATATCCATGACATAATAATTACTTATTCTCATATCATATATCGCATTTAATATTATATAAAATTATATATTTTGCATGTGTCTCCCATGTGTCATGTTTTACATTTTTGAAAAATTTCTTGGCAATGTCAAGGATACATTCTTGCTCCCAAGATAACTATGCCATTTACCTCTACCGACAACCTTATCAATTCAAAGGGAACATGTGTCCAAGTACATTAAAAACAAAAAAAAAAACCAAAAAAACAGAAGCAAAGATGTGCTGAGGCCACTGATTTTATAAACAATTTAGTCCCCTCCAGATAATTTACCTGCCGATCACTCTCGGAGAGAATCCTCCATGCATCTATTGCCATGGTTCGGAGATTACGGTTTGCTGAGCTCTCCCCATGGACCTTTTTCAGTCGCTCACATTCCTTCCTGAGGAAGATCTGATATGCAGTTCTTGCTCGTATTGGAGCCTTTGGGTCTTTTTTCACATCCTTATTTTTTGGTGATGTCTGCACGACCGGTTTCTTCTGTTCTGCTGACTTAGCCCCTGTTTTCAAAAACCATGAGCGGAAGCTACTGTACACACTCTCTTTAGAATGATAAAGCAAACCACAGTTTCTCTAACGACTGACTGAACATTAATTTTGATACTTTTGTGGTGTTTTAGCTGTGGGATCATTGTGCATTGTGAAAAAATATTGGAGTTCTATAAGCAGTCCACCACAATTCAAGAACAAAGGAGGCAAAAATTAGAATATAAGGATTGGTGCAAACATTAAGTACAGATATAATATAAGAATATTTGAAGTTTCCAAAATCAATAAATTTGTGTGCAATCCTTTAGAATAGGCAATAGCACATGGCACGTCTATACGGACATCATACACTTTTTGTATGGCAACCAATCCAGAAGTAAGGAACTATTGGGCACTGGGATGACATGGAATTAGAAGTTATTCAGATAAAGAATGATTTTTGACAGGTAAAAGCAGTGTGTTAACTCACTCGGAGGAAAGTTTATCACGCACTACTTAATTCTGGAATTCATAAAAATAGTTTAGGAATGACTCCTTATCTACCGAATTTTCTTAAATGATATAAAGTTAGGCCAAGTTTGGCAATACCAAAATAATTTATCTTTTTATTTTTTTATCTTTTTTTTCATCACTTCACCTCTCTACTTTTCTGCACATCTTTTCGTAAAAAGATAAAAAGTGCACTTATTTAGGTCATCCAAAATAACCCTTTAGTATTGGGAAATTATAAACTATTCCC